AACCACGGTAACAAATAGTTTAACAGTACTTGCTTGAATAAAACAAATATATTGTGAACTAGCTTTACGTGTAAAGCACATCTAAAAAAATGTTCAGAATACTGAGATTTTATCGAAACTTCTCACAACATTGTCTTTCCACTTCAAATTTTACCCATTTTGTCAAAAAAATCCTGGCCTGCCTAGTATGGGGGTAAAGGTCAGCTTTTGACCTTTCTAATAATGCAGCAGTTATTTCTGTACACACTATCGCGACCGAGCAGTTTTTGAAAGAAAAAGAGTTGCTCTGGCTTGGTTTCGATGCGAGCGCCGGTCGGACGCAAAATGAGTCATTTTCCCAAATTTTAGAGCTATATTAAACATATTTCCACACGTCCATTCTATCCTCGAACAACACACATATTAGAACAAAACAAGCTCTTCAAAAAGGTTTTTATTTCATTAAAATAAAGCAATCATGAGTGAAAAGCTACGTTTGTGAAGTTGATCACTACGGCAGTTTTCCTCCTCGGGAAGAACTCGACTTGCCGCGATCGGCGCACCGTTTATGGTACCTACCTATGTTGTTCGGGCACAGTATGAGCATGACATAATTCTACTGTGCATAATAATAAGATGTTAATATCCCCCCTTTGGGAATGCCCTAACCTAAAGTAAAGACGACTTCAGTCAGTAACACTGCCCTGGTGGGGGGCTGTAATGAAAGTGATCCTATTGGTTAATCATAGGTTCAGTGTATTGAAACGTGATTCCTGTCTATAACAGGGTTCCAGTGTAACAGGGATGTCATGTTGGTCCCGGCAGTCCAGTTATAACCAGGGCCCACTGTAAAATGTCTGAATGTTGGAGAGACCCAAAGGAAATATTCTAAGCATACTAATCTAAAGTTTGTTCTCCATTATTGACCCCAACAAAATTCGCAATTTTATATAGACCGTCGGTCTTTACTCAAGGTGAGTGCTGTTTTAAAATATAATTGACTGTTTTACCTTTAAATTTTTACCATGAATTTTTATTTTGACTATAAATTAAACCTAGCTGTGCTGTAATCAATTGTGAAAAGTTCCAACTTATGTCCCACGCGCTCAAATGACTCGTACAGTTGCAAGTGCCATCAAACTTTCCCAATGGGGATATCCTTTAAACCGGATTGGAGGCTGGGGGCATCCGACGGTAATAAACCTGTTCCCCATCGGATGCTGGTAGTGTCTGATACTAGTGATAACTGTTTTGTTTAATTTAGTGCTAGTTTCTTCTTGTTTTTCGGAACTATTGCCGTTATAGCAGGATACTCGTTGTAAGGGATTCTGTAATAAATTCAAGGGAAATAGTAAAGTAGACCTAATCTATGAGTTTGGTGTTCTGTTAATTCCTTTTAATATTTCCCCTGATGATGATTTTATCCAACATGATCTCTAGGTCTTACCTGATCAAAAATCGAATCAGGTTTCTTTCTCTAGCACTAGCAATGTTGACAGCTCGGCGTTGGCGATCAAAAAGAAGGGGCTCTGGCTCTAGCCTAACTCGCCTGCTGTGTTGTCCCCCCACCCCACCACACCCTGTGGTGCATTGTGTCTGCTTGCGCACGTCAAACATTCACTCCATCTATCGCAGCACTATGGCTTCTCCATCCCGCATCAGAGAAGTGAGAGGCATGGTAGGCCTAGGTAATCTAGACTGGGCCGGCCTATCACGCGATGTGTTCTGCTTGTCTGCGCATGCCACACCCTCCCCACTTATTTGCTCCGACCTTCATTGTTGGCACACATGGGCTCTCCCATTCTTTGTTTCGCTGGATCACCAGCAACTTTCTTAACTGGCGAGGTTTTATATGTTTAATTGGTCTGTGCACAGCAGCAGCAATATTCCGTTATAACCGACTCGCGTGAATATCTGATTGCTAATAGCAGTATTTTATTTACAAAGATAATGAAGGGGAAAAAAGGGGGTTTTAGAATAGTGTCTTTATAACAGACTTCTCGTTATTTCAGTACTCGTTATAAGTGGACTCCACTGTACTGACTAAGCCTAAGCCTTTGTTTCCGCTGTTTAGAAGTTGGAGGCAAGCTTTTGGGGTTATTATGAGACATAGTGCACTGGGTTAAGGTTACTAGACAAAACCCCGGGAAAAGGTGGAAAAAAATTAGGGTTTAAAAAGTTATGAAGATTGAAGAATACCGGACCACTCGTATACAGTGGAATCCTGTTATAACGAGACGTAGGGGACCGGTGCGAAATGTCCTTTATACCAGGATTCTCGTTATAAGGAATCCAGTAATAAATTCAATGGAAATAATAAGTAGGCCTAATCTATGAGTTTGGTGTTCTGTTTATTTCTTTTTGTTATCTACCCTGATGATGGTATTGCTCAACATGACCTCTAGGTCTTACTTGATCAAAAATCGAATCAGGTTTCTTTCTCAAGCGCTAGCGATGTTGACAGCCCGGCGTTGGCGATCAGAAATAATGCGCTCTGGGCTAACTCGCCCGCTGTGTTGTCCCCCACCACACAACACCCCGTGGTGTGTTTCGTCTGCTTGCGCACGTTACTACACATTCACTCCATCCATCACAGCATTGTGACCTCTCCATCCCCGCATCGGAGAAGTGAGGGCATGGGTAGTGGTAGGCCTAGATAATCTAGACTAGGCTGGCCTATCACACGATGCGTTCTGCTTGTCTGTGCTTACCACACCCTCCCCACTCATTCGCTCCGCCCTTCTGTGTTGGCAAACGTGGGCTCTCCTATTCTTTGTTTCGCTCAAGGAGTTGATGTAAGGTCCTAGGTTTCGCTAGATCACCAACAAGTTTCTCAGCTGGCGAGGTTTATATTATAACTGGCCTGTGTGCTGTGCACAGCAGCAGCAATATTCCGCTATAACCGACTCCCGTGTTTGTCCGATTGTGCTATAGCAATATTTTATTTACAAAGATAAAGAAGGGAAAAAAACAGGATTTTAGAATAGTGTCTTAATAACAGACTTCTCGTTGTTTCAGGACTCGTTATAAGTGGATTCCACTGTACATTATCACGCGAGAATGTGGGGTGGAGGAGGGGGTGGGGAGGACCCCCCTGACAAAATTTTAATGAATAGATCTACCGGTCCGAGATACCCGAGATTCTCCATTGAAAGATACAAAAACTGGGGAAAATCATGAATTCCTAAGGTTGAGACATAGGCAAAGTCAGTCTGCTGGTCCGGTATTCTTCAATCTTACCAAAAAGTTAAACTTCGTTGGGTAAATCCCTGTTTCCATACCTGATGCTTCTCGCTCCATGTGAATCCTTGTCCGCATACACTATGCATTTCCTGGTAAATCCCCCACCCCTTACCTCAACTTCTTCGGGTATATTAACTCCCCTTCTCTTTTCCTTATATTTTTCAAGGAAAATCCCGCTCCCCCCCTACCTTGTACTTTTCATAGTAAATCTCTCACCCCTTCGTTTTTCTTTGGGTGTTCAAAATTTATGAGGAAAGAGTTTCAGCCTAAATAACAAAGAAGAGGTAGTTGGAAGAAGTTTAGAGTGAAGAAAAACACTTTTGTATAGCTTTAGGTATCAGATATTGTGTCAGTGTGCTTCTGTGTGGCTCTCCGTCTCCCTGCCCTAGCAAGCAAGTGAAGCGTAAACATAGTTTTTTTCTGTCAGAATGGAAGACGCCTGCTTCATTCTCAGTAAATTTCGGTTTTCTTCTTACCAGACAGATGACCCACTGAAACAGTTGTCAGACCTGAAGCCCAAGCTGTTGGTGGATGATACAGATGCAGTGCTCAAAAGATTGCTTGATGCTGCAAAAGCCAAGGGTGGTCAGGGAGGTAAGCTGAAGCCCTGGAGATTTAAGGGAAAATGTCTGAAGTAACCAGGGAAAGTCCCAGAAAAGTAAATGTTGTTCGCCAAACTTTGAACACTAATTTTAAGACTAGTAATTTCACATATTGTTGGAGCAAACTTATTTTGGGCATGCATTCAGCTTCCCTGTTCCGAGAGTGAATTTTGGGCAAACAAGTGGCTGTGACGAAAGTGGATGTGACATCGAAGCTGGGCAGTCTTGATCAGGCTCAAAATCAAGATTTATTTTAACTTTCGTCACCATTATAATTCTACGTTGATGGTCTGATTATAGTAATTTCAAAACATGCGGCTTGTGCGTTATAAACGACTTGATATTAAAAGAGAAGAAACAAATTTCTAGTTTGATCAGAGACCTGTGTTGCATCTTGTGTGTATACATCATACCTACTTGTCACTGGAAATATACTCTTATCATTGAACAAGTGTTTACAGCTGGATCGATGTTTTAGTATTCAGTGATACAATAATTGCTAGATTTGTTGTACTACTGCATCCACCTGCCCACTGTCCTGCCAACCCTGGTACGAGCTCTCTTTTACTTTTAGTTTTTCCTCTGCTTCGAGCTATGAGTTTTCTCTTGCCTGCTTTTTAGATTCCAAGAATGCTGAAATCTAGACATGGTTTTGACAGTTTTGCAGTTGCGAGCGCCGTAAAACTCTTACATGTTCTAAAACAAAAATGACATCGATCGGTCAGAGGATAGCAATGTGTTCGTGCTTCCTCGATCGTCTTGAAAAGGGTGAACATTTCTGCGATGACGTTTGTTTCAGAGGTAAAGCCCATTTTCACCTTTCAGGATATGTAAAATCCACAAATGCTGTTTATTGGATCACACCCCCCCCCCTCCCCCCTTTATTATATGTAGAAGACATTCCGTAGTGAAAAGTGAACAATGTGGGCCCTTGTGTTTGGCTAGCACTGAATGTTACAAATGACACGTTTAATTAAAATGTTTCGAGTCCACCGAAGGACATGTTGAGCTGTGGCTCTAAGAATTCTAGAATCAAAATGTTCGTTTTTTAAACTCTAAGAGAAATGAAGTATTTTTTGGTATGTTACAGGGGTAGAAACTTATTTTTTTTTAAAGATTGTTACATTTTGCGTTTATGGATGTTTTTTTCTTTAATAAGCCTTTTTCGTTTTCAAAAAGTTTCATCTTCATGAATTTTATGGCAAACAAATTCCGACCCCTTGGGGCAGTGCCACTGACTGAAGTGTCTTTAGGCCATTCCCAAAGGGGGGACATTTCTCGCTCTAATGCACAATAGAATTGTAAATGGACTGATCCAACTATGTCATGCTCATAACTGTGCTTGAACTACAGCAGGGAACTGATGCTCTTTCTTTCCAAATACTTGCTATCGTCATTTTCCTCTACTTCTTTTGTATGTTTGTCACACTCTTGTGACCTGCTATTTCCGGGGTGCCTTGAGAGTCGAAGCAGACTTTGTGCTGTTGAAGCTAGAGAGGTGAGCAGAGTAAGTCTGATTCCCTGTAAGGACTTCTCTGTTGACATCCACCCTTTGGCGCTCATATGACCTTATGCAGTTGCAAGCTCCGTAAAACCTCTACTAAAACTAACAAAACAAATTCCTTTTGAATGATTTATGTCTGTTCCAAATTAAAACATTCTAGAACAATTTTTGTTTGAGTTATTAAAAAATAAAGTTGTAAAGTTTTTTTTGGATCACCCTCTACTTCCTGCAGGGAGAGGAGAAGCCTTTCTGTATTGGATGAGATACCAATTTTACTCCTAATACAAAAGGAATGTCCTGACTTTGTAGTATGTTTATGCATTCCGTTTCGTACATTGGCAAAAGCTAGCATCGGTGGCTTGTGGATAGGCTCTGGGACTCACAACTGTAAGGAGGTGGGTTCAGATCCTGCCAGTTGTGTCCTTGGGAAAAGTGTTTTACAAGAATTTTCCTCACTTCACCCTGGTGGGATGTGTACCCGGCTATAGACAACAAAAGATCTTGTCAGTTTGTTAATGTTTGAAGACGTGCCATCTACAGCTTGCACTGTGTGCTTCCCGGGAAGTCGAGAATGTTTTTGAATGTTCTCAGGTCTCCTGGGGTAATAATCGTTCTAAAGCGCATAGAGCATGCTGTAGAACGGGAGGTGCGCAATATAAATGCAGTTATTATTATTATTATTATAATAACAGGGTTGGGGAGAGAGATGGCGGTTTCACTGGGTTTAACTGTAATGAATACTGTCATGTTTTTTCCTGTGGAGTCATGCCTTTATATCTCTTTTTCAGGACGAGTTGACATTGTCATGGATAATGCTGGCTTTGAACTCCTATCAGACTGGTGCCTGGCAGAATTTTTGTTGAGTTCTGGACTAGCAACATCAGTTCATTTTCATATCAAAGCTATGCCTTGGTTTGTCTCTGATGTCACAGAAAAAGACTTCAATTGGACTCTTCACCAGATGTCTGCCATGAACCACATTGCTATGAGCCAGCTGGCACAAAAGTGGAAGCAGCGCCTCAATGATAAGACCTGGATCATAGAGGTGGACAACTACTGGACCATGCCTAATGACTATGCTCAGATGGAAGAACTGAACCCTGCCCTCTATCAACAACTTTCCCAAGCAGACCTCGTTATATTTAAAGGAGACTTGAACTACAGAAAACTTGTAGGAGATTTGAAGTGGGATTATACAACCGATTTCCAGACGAGTTTAAGGGGATTTCTACCAGCTCCTCTGTGTGCACTTAGGGCACTGAAGAGTAATTCAGTAACTGGTCTGAAAAAGGGTCAGGCAGAAGTGGCAGAGAAGGAGAGCAGCCAGTGGATGGTCACTGGGGAGTGGGCAGTGCTCTCTTTCTCTTCAGGCAAGACAACCTCTCAACCCTGTGCCTGTTAGCACTGTGCCATCTGTTGAGCATGGACAGGTTCATGTGTGAAATCTGACGAGACGTTGGTCTGAAGTCTCGGTGTACAAAATATATACTGCGGCAATAGAAACTTTCTACTTGAGAGAAGCCTGTTTTGTGCTTATTGGTCAATATATATAAAACAGGGTTCCCAATCAACCAGGAAACAGGGAAAAGCCAGGAATTTCATTTTCAGATTTTCTGGTCGGGAAAACACCATGAAAATGAAAATATAGGGGAGAAAGCCGGGAAATCAAAGTGCTGTCAACAATTATGGATTTGATCGAATCGTTAAAGTTTTAAAAAAATCTTAAAAGGTTTCAATTTTACATAGATCTAAATACGATTGTAACTGCCCACCCCTGATTCCGATCTAAAGAAATGTAATTGCTGTTCGACTCTCCCAACCCTTCCCCACCTTCCCGGCGTATAAGGATCCCAACAGTTTACGTCACTACATCACGTGCAGCTAACTTTAAAAAAACCTGCGCCCTGAGTCCTGGTAGTCGCTCAGTAACCCTTTGCCTTAGAAAAACATAAGCTGGGAGAAAGGCCAACATTATTATTGTGACAAGGCCAACATTATTATTGTGACAAAGTGTAAAAAATTCTTGCTCTTATGCATTGTGGGTGACGTCCTAGACAAACGAGAGAATAAATCTCTCCCCCCCCCCCACCACACACACACACACACACACACATGAGAGAATACTCCCCCCAAAAAACAACAAACAGCAACAAAAAAGAATGCGCATCATGTTGTGTAGTGATGTACAATAATAGTTAAGATCAAAGGCTTGTGACGCGTCCTGTCGGTTTCTTTTGTTTTTGCAAGAGTCAAGCCAACAGCCAATAAATTCACCCCCCCCCCCCCCCCAACCGTTTACCTTACACTTATATCCTATAGCCCCTGTCCTTGACACTGACACCCTAGGGAATGGCACTGTCCATGGCCATGGTATTATTTTTACGTTGCATTTCTCTTCATTTTTACTTCCTAGCTCTGACACACACACACACACACAAAAATAACCAACAACAACAAAAAACACCCCCTAATGAGTGGGAACCCTGATAAATATAAAAATTGACACAGATATATTTCGAAGTATGTCGAGAAGTATATTACCTTTTGTTTCTTGATCATGTCTCATCTGGTGGCACAGTGTTAAGCACAAACTGGAACCCCTTGATTTCAAAATTTCATGTCAGTTGCGGGTTGTTGTCCCTTTGCAATGATGCAAGCTTGGCATGTTCTGCGCATTGATCAGGTCAGATTTTAAAAAATAAATTAATTGCTGTGGCAGTCAATTCCATTTTTGATCAATGCTTGTCCCAGTCGGTGCGCAATGTTAGTGTTGTTTTGGGAGTTCACTTTTAGGCCTACAAGGTGACGTGTGGGGTACTCCCCACACGTCACCCTGTAGGCCTAAAAGTGCAATGGCAAAACATTCACATTTTGCTTCTGTAATATTGCTTGAGCATTGTCTTGGTGGAATGTGCATACGTCTATGGGTTTGAAATAAGGGAACTGAGTACGTCTGGAGAACATTCTGGTACGTTTTGGCGTTGACCGTAGCTTTGGAAATTGCGGGTAGGTTCTGTGGTTGGAAAATATTTAACCCCACACCACCACACTGCCACCGCCTCATGTGTCTATTTCAAGCATACAACATGTAGCAGTCTGCTAGTCTCTCTCTCCCATAGAGATACGCCTTAATAATACTAGAGACCACACTGCCGTTAGCGAGGCCAGGCGAGCTGTGTCCCCGTAACGGGCGATCGGATGACGGCCATATTGCAGTCAAAAGTCAGCACCGCTAGCACAAGATCATGACGTACTCGCCTGTTAGCCTAGCCTAGAATATTACGGGTAGTTGTTAAAGTGCTTACATACTAGGCCTAGGCCTACTACTACTACTACTCTAGCCCAGAAAGAAGTAGATCTACAATGCATATATCAATAGGAATAAAATAGTTTAGTAATAGCATTCTAAATATTTTGACAAAGTGTGTTTGTGTGTGGGGGGGGGGGGGGGGGGATATGTGAGAGAGATATAGGGCCAATGGAAAAAGAATATAGTAAAAGTAATGGTACTTATAAATTCGAGACTCTTTAATTTAGATACATGTACGTTACAATGATTTGCAGTCAGATTAAGAATAAATGATGAGAATGATTAGGCTTATATGACAATATTACTACTAGCGTATCAGATCACGAATTTCAATGTTTCTGTTTTGATAATGTATTATGATGCAACAGATGTTTCACTTATCAAACAAATAAACAATTAAACACACATCTGTCTTTTATAGATCTGAGAAAATCAGGTAGGCCTACATGCAGTAGTAGGCTTATGTTCAATAGATGTTGAGACCATTAAATTGAGAAAATCTAGCAAAAATGATGTATCAAGATTTTAAATTTTGGGCAATATTTTAGGCATTTGAATAATGCATATATCATAATAATATACTCAATATTTTATGTAATACTTGAGAGTTATTAAAAGAACTTTTTTTTGGTAGACAAAAGGTTCATAATGTTCTCATCTCCACTACATAGTAATTTACTCACCCATCATCATGTTAATCCAATCATCAATTTTCAGCAGTTTGTCGCAGGCATTACTGATGCAGGAACAACACTGTCTTGTTGAGCTTTCGCAGAACAGTCCCATTGTCCTTCTGGATGTAGCGCTCTGTGTAGATCTTGCCATGGTGGTGTAAGACAATCCTACAAAAATTGTTGGTGATGAATTTAATAATTTGCACATGATGGCTGTCCTCACTTTCAATATGTGATTCTGACTGGTGAAGTATTTGAAAAACTGTTCTTCCAAGTTCTTCCGTCATAGATAAAGCGACTCTGAGGGTGGTCTGAAAGTTTACACTCCGCACAGGTCCAACATTGCTTGTTGTCAGAATCTGACGCAGAATTTGGTCAGTTTTTGTCACCGCTGTGATGACATCCTGGTGTGCAAAGCGCAGTCCACCATTGTCTCGTCTTTGTGTTAGTTCTGAGAACTTCCCAGCAGAGGATCCAGATGAGAAGAAAGCAGGGCATTCCTCACATTTTGTTTTCTCCAGCATCTTCTTTTCAATGTAACCTGCAATGTAGTGTAGGACATGCTGATGATATGGGCCCGGTTTTGTGAGAAGGCTCCTTAGTGAAGACTCTGGAACAGGCAGACTCAACAAAGTTGATGGGGATGGTTGGCTCTCTTCTAAATCTTTGTAGACAGAAAGGGCGTTATCTGGTGACGGAATACTGACACAGTTGCCCTTACCAGAGGCAAGAACTCCTTTCTTGATCAATAAAGACCGGAGGGCGAACTTGAACTGTAGAACATTCGGGTAATTATTCCACCCTCTGCGTCTCCGAATTCGACTAAACAGTGTCTCCAAGTGATCCTGGCTAAACCTGTATGTCAGAATGAATCCGTAGCCTTTGTGCAGCAGACGTTCTGCGACACGAATAATTGACTGGAGTGTCACAAGAAACCCAACAAAGCCAGTCTTCCTTTTTGTCGCAAGGAGGGGTTTTCCAGACTGATCTTTGAGAGATTTTATATATTCCATACCAGAATGTGCCACACGCTGCTTGATGACGAGGTTCCATGGGGTAATCGTGCTTTTAAAGCCTTTAGATCGAATAATCGTCGAGTTGAGTAGATTGAAAAGCTTGTCGAAACATCTTAAGAAATAACAAGTGGCTTCACTCCCGGCAAATTCTGGCATTTTCATATCCTCCCGTAGAAAGTCTATGGCTGTGGCTACTGAAGAGCTCAATGTTTGTGCTGCTAGGGAAACTTTCATCTTATTTTTGGTGTAGTTGATGTGCACTCCCTTTAGTTTGTTGCACAAATGAAGGTTTGACGTGGACTGAAGTTTGTGCAGTTCTGTTATAAATCTCCACTCGATCTTATCTCCTCCAGCATACAGAATCTTTATCTCCCCGAGAGCACTCCGCACATTCTTGAGTAGGTGGCAGGTGTCGAACATGAAGGACACAGAGTGGCAGACAGATGGATGGTTTATATCAGTGGTCATCTGTTCCGCTTTAAAGTCACATCCTAGAGCTGTGGCAGTAGATTGATTGGTGAAAGACCCATCACAGACCACAGCCTCCACATTGAAACCACTGTCTGACAATAAAGTGATGGCATCCTTTACAAGCTGAGCCTGTTGCTTGGCATCAATATTGTCGATGAGAAAGTATCCAAATGGCACTTTAAAGAATTTCTTTAGCCCCACTACTAAAAAGGCGAGGCTCTCAGATTCAAGTGCATAACCTGACGCTACCTGTAAATGGCCATGATTTCCATAGCCAGCATAAGACTGCCGCTTACTGTCAAAGATCACCTGTTTGCGCACGCAGGCTCATCGCGTCGAACATGACCGCAACATCTTTCATGTTCTGATCTTTTTGTAGTTGGTCTTTCAAACCAGTAAGGACATCACTCATGAAGCCTGGCTCTACATCATGACAAGAAGCCCATCTCTTCAATGTGTCTGGGTGGGGCAAACCAAGAAATTTCCTAACATACTCGTATGCCTGCGCTCTGTAGAAATGTAAGCTCACTGCGAAAGATTTTAGTTCTTCGGAATATGAATGTCCGTTGGGCTTTTTGTCTAAATTCTTCACCTCGTTCTCAATAATTGTACGAGTATCATTGTCAAAATTCTCCTCTAAAATGTCAATCTGTTCACTCTTCAAAAGATCGGCATCCTTCATCTCTTGAAGTAAAGTTTCTATTTTTGTATCCCTTCGCTTTATCTTTCTTTTTACACATTTGAGCTGAGAACACCAGTTCACTTTTTTCTTGAGGGCAACATCTAACTTGTGTTGGGTCTCATTAAGATGATCCTCTACTGAAGAATAAGCCGCATACGGGTGGTCATTTGAGTTTGACAACTTGCTTCTCTTGGCAGAATCTGATTTGGCTGCTGCCTTTCCACATGAAGATTCTGGTTTTCGCTTTGT